TTGGGGTTTAGGGGTTTTAGGGTTCAGGGTTTAGGGTTTAGGGTTTAGGGAACACCACAGAACCAGGGTCTCCAAGCACTCGACGCACCTGATTTACGAACAAATCCTGCTAGTTAGGCTCTGCATTGGGGTCCCTCATTCTCCCTCGTTTAGGTTCTTTCGAGGAACTTAGTTAGCAAGGTGAGGAAAGCATCTTGGCTATAGAAATATGCTATAATATCATTCTGCTACGGTAGCAAAGCACCAGGAAAACCCTTAGGAAATCCTATTACATGATAGCTCTGACATGTCTCTTGTTCATTCTTCGTGTCGGTAAGGGTTCGGTGCTGGCCCCCGGAAATCGACGGTGGCAAGAGCCGGCTGAATTTCTGGAAAACGGTGATTCTGTGAAGTTGTGACAGTATCATACCGACCTTTGTTGCCGATATCGGCAGGGGTAGTGATTCTGCCATTCAGTCGGTTGTTGTAAAGAAACCTCCCTACTGCTCCGATGTAAGATCTGCGCAGCATCAAGAACCCTAATGTAGCGGCCTAAATAGTTACCAATACTTTTTATTGGGGGTTCCTTATTACAATTATAGTATGATGGGCCCCAAAAACCCTATTCTAATTATCAAGGCCCCTGTATTAAGCCCTAAACTTCTGGAAGTCGTTCAGGTTCGGGGAAGATACTTGCCTATCAGCACAGTCGGTCCAACTTCAGCGCAGATCCTAGCCGCAGCCTGACTATTGCAACGAAACTTACTTAATATATGGTCATTAGTAATTTGAATAGAGTTTTGGGGGGTAGACTATAGCTAATTATAGCCCTGCAGGATTACTATGTGAATTGCACAAGCGGTTTGGGCATGCTGTAGATTTTCAGACTAATTGATGTAACCTTACAACTACGCACCAAAGCCGAAATGCCAGCTCCTGATTGTTGCCGTCGTGTATGGAAATGTCTTAGGGTCACCTGTTGCTTTCTAAGAGGCTAAACCCAAACCCTAAACCTTGTGCTGAACCCCCAAACCCTCAAACCCCAAACCTTAAGCCCCGTGAAGCCTTATAACTCTTACCAAGCCCTGCGTCTTACATCTCCTAGCCAACACGAAACACCTGACTCGGCAAGAGTTATGGAGGATCAGGGGATGTGGGGGTTTCCGAAATCAGGGAACCCTAAGGTAGTACTCTAAATAATAGGATCCTTATTATAAGGACCCCAAAATAAGGTACCCTAATTTTCGGAATATCCCATGTAGTACGCCTTAGTAGGCAAGGTGTCGAGCAGCTCGTACCACGACAATACTTATTTGTTTTAGCAAGCTCCAGGGTGTACACGCGGGAAGCATGGTTATGATTACACAAACCCACAAACCCTAAACCCTAAACCACAAACCCGAAACCCTAAACCCTAAACTCCACAATGAAGGAACAGGGGACCTTTCAAAATAAAGCAGCTGCCTTGCATTCTTCTCCCAGCTCCAAATCCATTGCAAGCTCCTAGCAACTGGAGCTTTCGGGGTTTCGGGTTTAAGAGTTTAGGGTTTAGGGGAGTAAGGGTTTAGGAGTTTAGAGTTTAGGGTTTAGGGTTTAGGAGTTTAGGGTTTAGGGATTTAGGGTTTACGGGCTTAACGTGGGTTTCGGGGTCTCTTTCAACCCCTAAACCCTAAACAAGCATAAATGTTTGATGGGATTCCAGCAGGAGGGTCGAGTAATGAAGGGGCCTGAATAAGTAGAATAGGGTTTTGGGCTCCGTTTATCGTACAATTGCAACCAGGAGCCCTACAGAATAATATGTGGTAAGTATTTAGGCTTGTATGTTACCAGTGCTACAGGTGTTCCGGTTCTGAGCGGATCTTACCATCGGCTTTAGGATTCAGGGCTCTGGGTTTGTGTCCGAAATCAGCTACAGACAAGAAACTGAAACCCCAAAGCCCTAAAACTCTAGACCCTAAGCCCCAAAACCCTAAACCAAACCCCAACACCCTGAAGCCTATAACCTAAGCAGTAAAACTTCACACATGTGAGTGGATGCTGGTTCAGACTACGAGGTTCCGGGCTTCGTGGAGTTAGTGGTGTAGCATAGCCGTCTGAATAACCAGTTCTACTGCCCTTATGATGCCCATAGATTATGTCATAATCTTACTCCGAGGCCCTAGTCTAATTATACAGGCCCTTGAGGGAGCCCTTTCCCCTTTTCCCTAAACCCTAAACCCTAAACCCTAAACCCTAAACCCCAAACCCTAAACCCTAAACCCTGAACCCCAGGCGTCTCGGCCCAGGGTAGCAGTGGAAGTGCCCCGGCCGGAGGAACCCTAGTGTGGCGGTGTATCTGCCCACGATTTTGCTCCGCTGCGGCGTCGAGCGGGAAATCGCCTTTTTCGTCGTTGCCTGGCTTCGCTGCAGTTTTACTGCCGACGCCTTGGTACACCGCCTGCCACTGTACGCTTTGCGAGGTGGTTTGGCTTGGCTCCCCACTGGTGTGGCTGGAGCGTTCAGTTTTGAGTTGCCTCTTGCCTGCTGTGCTCGTGGGTGAGCAGAGCAGGCGATTGGCATCTTCTGGGTGAAGTTATATGCTTGGTGGCTGGTATCGCTGGACAATCTGGGTGATTTTGCTGGCGAGCAGTGCCGAGATCTTTTACCACGGAGACAGCACAGCATCGACGAGCACGCCGACAAAGGACGCGGGCGAGGTTTGTGTTGAAACGCTGGTTGAAGGGGCACGGACAAGTGTCCCCATCGAGGTTACAGCACGCGTGCACTGTGCTGGAGTCACATCACAGCAAAAGCGTGCTACCAGAACAAGTTCGTCGACGACTGACTGCAAGGACGATGGCGCAACAAGGCCAAGGATGGTGGTGCCCGTCGTGCCGCAGGACGGTCAAGAAGGATGCCAACTTCTGCCCAGGGTGTGGGCAGAGCTGGCAGAAAGCAGCCAACACGGCCCGAGAGCCCTACACGGCCGCAGTGGTGGGACCACCGTGGCGCGATACATGGGACAACTGGGATGCCACGCAAAGGTTGTTCAGGAGGAAGCCTTCAGCCTCACCTCGGCGAAAGGGTCGGGGCAAGGGCAAGGACAACGGAAAGACCAAAGGGGCCGGCAAGCAGCAGACGAAGACCAAAGAGGAGCAGACTTGGGTGGCACCCACAGTGGACGACCTACCTGCCCCACCGGCGCCTCCCACCATCTCAGGGCCCAAGAGGCCTTCGGCGGATGCTGGAGCGCAGCCCGAGAAAAGCCAGCTCGACACATTGGTGCGGTTGTTGGCTGGCTCCTCAGCTGCCCTCCCCGAGGCAGCCCAGCAGATCCTAGCGGAGGTGCAGCAGAACAGCGCACAGGCGGCCACTCGAGGACGACACCGAGCGGTCGCAGATCAAGCCAAGGCTCGAGCAGCCCTGGCGAAGGTGCAGAACAGCCGCGCCAGCTACCTTCAGGCGTGGTCCGAGTATATGTCGCGCCTCACTGGACTTGTCGAAAAGCAGGTCCAGGAACAAGGACGCATCATGGAGGAGCTGGACGCGGCGGAAATACAGTGGACCGGAGCGGAGAGGCATGCCACACAGCAGCTTGCCAAGCTCGCGGCCACCGGCGAGAAGGAAGCAGAAGAGGAGGACAACAACTCCGAGGAGATGGTGGACAGCGCTATCGAGCAGGAGGCAAAGCTGAAGGCAGCCTCTTCAGAACGACAAGCGGCAACCACCAAGGTCCTGAGTGTCTTGACCACCCTCAGCCAGACAGCGGCAGAGCAGGCGCAGGAGCACGCCCGCGAAGGCTCGAGGACACCACGGAGGGTACCTCACTTCGACCTCACCAAGGAGGAGCTCCCAGACGAGGCACCGCAAGAGGATGGGGTTGGCAACAAGCCCAGAGGTGGGCCGTTGTCAGCCTTTCGCTTGGGACTGCCGTTGCGAGCGACGAAAACGGACCCTGGCGAGGCTCGTTCATAAGCCGACAGGTTATGTGCGAGCCGAACAGCGAGCTGTGTGATGGAAAGCACAGCATCCAATCTGACTGGAGTTATGTGGGACCATATGCCAGTCAGTTCTTGGGTATGATGGACCGACTTCAGGTCCAAATCACGGACATCGGGCTTCCTGGTCACACAGTGTGGGATGACCCGAGGATCCAAGGCCATGCCTTTCCGGTTTCATCGGCATATGACAGAGCCGTTCAGCAGGTCCGAGCGGACCTGCGTGCAGAGCATCCTCCTATGGCTTCCGTGAATGAGGGCTTTTCACGCAAGCGACAGGTCGGTTTTCCTGGCACCCCGGATGTGGGCTGTTTCAAGGGATACGGCTCAGCAGGAGAGGATTGTGCGCCGTCCTTCCATACTCCTGTGTACATGGACAAAAACACAGTTGAGAGTGACGCGGAGGGCGCCTTTCCTCCAATGCTGCGGCCGAATCCTTGGCATGGCAACAAAGCAAGCGGAGTGATGAGTACAGCCTCTGACAGCCTTGTACATAGTGTACAGATTGCTGAGTGTAGGGCGTGCGTTTCAGGGACCCTGCACACAAGGCCACACTACCTACCACTTGAGGTTTGCTTTTCGGCAGGTGCCATCAGGTGGCGCAACCACCTTACGAGGCAGCTCCTTGCACAGGTCTGCCTTCCAGTGCAGGCCACCCTGCATCTGTTGCCCTCGCCCTGTGCTGACGGCACCTGCCGCTCACAGGCCTCGCCACAACTGCCTTGCACTCAGGCCCCCACTCCAGGGCCGCCCAGCTCCTTTGCCACCAGTGAGCGGGAGGTTGTAACCCAAGGTGCCTCACCGGTGCTGGTGCCGGACATGCCGCCAGGCCTGCTGGGGAAACATGGGCCTGAAGGTATTGCACTGGGCCGCACTGCACCTCCCTTTCGTGATGCCCAGGTGTCCCATGGCAGTCCTCCGCTGCCCAAGGTGAAAGGCCCTCAGGTCAAGTTCGCATCTGATATCGCAGAGCTTCCGATACCGGGAGTTCTCAACATGACGTTGCCCTCGCGATTTGTTGGGGCCGGACCTCTTAGTGAATGGGGCCCGAAGCTGGCTACGCGGCATGCGGCTGGAACCATGCCTAGTGAAATCTCATACATGAGAGCCACCCACGTCCGTGTTCTCCCCTCCGACCTGGATGGGCCTGCCCTCTACCTGCCTATGGCTAGAATGGTTGCTACCTTAAGGCCAGAAGTTGATGACTCAGGCAGGGGGCGGTACACTGTTTTTGAGCCAGGGCAGCGGCCAAGGGTACGCACATGCGGTGATGATTGGCGCCTCAGTGACTTCGCGGCGGATGCTGCAGGATCATCCACACAAACCGTGCGCACGCTCCAATTTGTGACAAATCCCATAGGCGGCTTACCGCGCCCTCAAGTGACGCTGACACCGGCCAGTGCTCCTCTACAGGCTCTCGCGGTGCCCTTTGATCTTCGGGACTTGGCCCTTAATGTGGTGACTGCGGTTATCACAAACCAAGCGCTTATGGATGATCTGCCTGGCCTCTTGGCGGCTGGAGCGCCCATTCCGCGGCTTGTCACCTTTCCACAGGGCCCGCCGCGTGCCATCCGCGATTCTGCAGGGCGTCGACATGCGCACTTCAGGGTGCCTCTTGTTGACTTGGAGTGGGCTGTGGTGCTTTTTGATGAACCTGATGCTGACCCAGCAGTGCGCCCCGAGCAGCATTTCGATGCATTGTGTGCCCTGAGGGCGGATGCTCCCTCGTTGCTTGGACGGGCCCGACACCTGCAGCCCACTTTCCACCCTCCCGCTTTCGAGTGTCGGCCCGCTTACATCTTCGAGGACGGCTGTGCCATTCGTGATTCCCTCCAGTTCTCGCTTGTGCGAGGGAACGGTCCGTATGGACAACAGCGTTTTCAGTACACCCTGTTTGCATGGCACAGCAGGCCCAAAAAGCTGTTGGCGGACCCGGAATGGACGCTTACTGATTTGGCAGTTTTTGCTGAAGCATCGCATGATGAATCGTTGCGTGTCATGCACGCCCTCCAATGCCCCATGCCTGGTATAGCCACCCCACAGCTGGTTGCGACTTCTCTGGACGTTGTTGATCCGTGGAGGATCATTCCGGTGGACCTGAGGCCCATTGGAGGTGATATCTTCTGTCCGCCCGTCGGGCCCGACATGCCGGTTGATGAAGTCTTTGCGCGCATTCGGCCTTT